CATTTTAAAGGAATAGTTCACCCAAAAATGAAAATTAGCTGAAAATTTACTTACCCTCAGGCCATCCGAGATGTAGATGAGTTTGTTTCTTCATGGGAACAGATTTGGAGAAATTTAGCTTTATATCACTTGCTCACCGATGGATGCTCTGCAGTGAATGGGTGCCGTCAGAATGAGAGTCCAAACAGCTGATAAAAACATCACAATGATCCAGTCCATCAGTTAATTTCTTGTGAAGTGAAAAGCTGCATGTTTGTAAGAAACAAATCCAGCTCTTTGGACTCTCATTCTGACGGCACCCATTCACTGCTGAGGATCCATTGGAGAGCAAGTGATGTGATGCTAAATTTCTCCAAATCTGATGAAGAAACAAACTCATCTACATCTTCGATGGCCTGAGGGTGAGGAAATTGAGCAAATTTTCATTTTTGAGTGGACTATTCTTTTAAATATGTCATCAACTCTAACTAAAGTCTATTTGCATTATGTATTACAAATGCATTCTGTATTATTATTAATGCATTCTAATAATGCATCATTTTATAGTGGAATCGTAAGAAGCTGAGATCGTGTGAAGATGTTTTTTAGGCTCCATTACTTTTTCATCTCATCTGTGTTTCTGAAACATGGTTTCAGGGTTCAGTACAACCTCGATATTGCCGATAGGCTCGCTGATGAGCACATACTTATCGGACTTTATGTGAATCTCCTCCGAAAGGACCGTTCATGGTCAGTGTGAGCTGTCGGTCTGCTGAGGTTGCTGTGGCAGTTTTCTTCCTAATCTGTTTTTAGAGCTCCAAGGTCACCATGTCTGTCTGGTAATACCCAGAATTCAATGTAACATTGTTAATGTCAAACTATCATTTGAGGAAACAGTGCAGGTTTTTTCCACAGTTTAAATGTACAGTATGTAATATAATTTCTGCATTTTAGAAAGGACACCAGATGTGGGATGGTGACTATTCTGGACACAGCGCTGTCTTGTATTTGCAGCTTGCTAACTGGCCAGGCTAGGCTTTTGTTGTGTTTAAGCAGTGTATTTGCTCTGTGTTAAACATATTACATTTCACTGCCATAGAGCGCAACAGTCCAGAAGTAAAAATGCCCTTCAGTTTCCCCATAGAGAGACTGACTTTTAGCGCTAATGTATGAACCTTTCAGTACAGAACTACAAAGAGCTCTGAGGTTGTATAGTGATAAAATATGCTTCTATAGAATGTGATTTCAAAATCATATTTAATTGCTGAACTCTCAGTGAAGAACTACACTATCCATAATTCACTAATCAGAGAAGTTGCTGTTATACAATATAAGTTTTATAAATGCATGAAAATATTGTTTTATGCTTCTTGACTTATAATCTATATATTTATATTTTACTGTCATTTCTATTTTAATTATGTCTTTCAAAATGTCATTCACTGTGAGTAGATTGTGGTGTTAGCAACTCCAGGTGTTAGTTATCCCAGTGATAAAATGCATGTTGTGAATGCAATGTCACTTCAGATAAATACATAAATATAATATTTGTGGGATGAGAAGTCCCTCATCACTGTATTTGTATGTACTTTTTTTCAGATTTTCATGTATTTTTGCTGCAATCACATGTTGTAATGCTATGATTCTCTTCAGAGCCTATTAGTTGGATTCATACATATTTAATTGGCTATGGAGAAAATGGATTAAAAAAAATACATCCATAACCAGAGAAAAAAAAGTGCCGTTCACTGTAGCGCTCTATTGCACCAGATGTATGTGCACAATAGTTCAAAATGAGAACTATTAATAGCATCCCTCGCTTGTTAAATAAATTCTGCCAACTTGAATCAATCCCAAACTCTAATTTGTCCTCCAATTCTACAAACATTTTATGGACTCTTTTGGAATATTATTTTGTTCCCATCCATTATTCAAATAGTGTGTAAACTTCTAATTTGATTAATATATGACAAATATATGAATTATTATTATATGTGGGTCTTTTGTGTAGAAGTGTGTGTCATATTTGGGGAGATTTGTGTCAGTTTGATGTGCAAGAACACAAAATACACAATCAATTATCAATTTTTGGCTTGGCAACTAGTCTTTAAACAAGGGCATGATTGTGATAGTGGATCTCAGAGTCACCAGTATCTCTGAATGAACTGGTTACCTATGGCTACATGTTTCATATGTTTTCCCATTAGACAGCACTCTTGTGTTTTCCAGCAAAGATGTCTAATATTGAGATTATTCTGGCCTTTGCTCCAAACCTTGCAGTACTTTTTTGGGAAACTGGGGCTCTGTGGTCTTCATGCTTTGCTTAGATCCTGAAATGTGTTTACGTGTGCTGGTTTCTGTTATTAGGATAGTACTGGTGAGTATGTTCACTAAAAGTATGTTCTTCAGTTTTCAGGAGAGCTGTAAAAACCAAGATGATGAGCATTTCCTCATTGCCCGTTACGCCTCCCGATTGGCTGCTGATGGAGCTGCAGCAGTAAGACAGCCAATCAGAGAAACTTTCCATTATTCACTGAATATTAATGCCATTATTTTTAGAAAAGTTGACTTTTTTCGTTTACATGAATAGATTGATGTAATGGGCAATTGGATTGTTTGGGAAACCCGTTTGGAAACAAACATTATGCAATCATGCAATTGTGCTTGTGATGCTGCTTTTGACACAGAAATGACACACTTTGACTTTAATTATTATGAATATATGCAAATAAATTCATGTAAACAACTCATTGACTTTATATACAACCTGATAACTCTTAACAGAAGACCAGAGTCCCGGCGGACATCTCTCTCTGTCTGGACTCCAATAAACAGCAGCGACAACTTATCGCTGAGCTTGAGAACAAGAACAAGTGAGTTTGAGTCTGGTTATTTTAGTATTGCACAGTGACATTGAATTAGCATTCTTAAAATGAATAAACTGTGTGTTTTCAGGGAGATTTTGCAAGAGATCCAACGCCTGCGACAACAACATGAAGAAGCTTCCCAGCCTCCGTTAGATAAAAGCCAACAAACCCCAACATTACTGGCTGAACTGAGACTGCTCAGGTAAACACCTGCACTCACACACACACACACACACACACACACACACACACACGCAGCGTACAGCCATGAATCAGACCTGAAACCTGATCGGATGTGGTGAACAACAGATGCTGATGGTTACGAGATAGACGGCATTGAAAGTGAGTGTAACCTGATCATGGCTCTTCTCATGAATGAGTGAAAGCACTTTAAAAGCAGTTTGCAACACTGAGACTCCTTCCTGTTTGTGGACATCACCAGTTCAGATTTGAATGGCGAACTGAGTCAAGCATGGATTTTTAAATAAGCTCTAGTCTTTCAATTCAGAAAGTTTACTGTGGTTTTACTCTAGTAATATTAACTGTTGTAACATGATATTTTGGTTCTAGATTCATACTAAATAATCTATTAGGGAAGTGCTTTGTGTGGCAGTTTTGGTTTCTAAATGTGTTTTTATTACTATATTCATAATAAACGCTATAGTTTGTTATATAAAAACCATAATTGCATTTATGGAAATTAGGTTTTACCTGTTATTGATAGTCTACTGCAAATACCACAGTTTAGAATATGATTCCATGGGAAGAACTATGGTCAATTTTCATTTTTATATCTTTACCCACAAGTTTTGGTTTCTAAATGTGTTGTTATTACTGCTTTCATAACGAACATGATAGATGGTTTTGTAAACACCATAATTACATTTATAGAAATTAGATTTTACCTGTAAATAAAACCTACTGCAAGTGCCATGTTAAAGAATATGATTCCCAGGGAAGAATATGGTAGATTTTCATTTTTATATTTATATATTTATTTTTTTCTTGTTTTATTATTATTTTTTTTTTATTCATTTTTATATATTTTATATTATGTAGTTTTTATATGTTATATATTTTTACGCACATGCTTTTAATGATTGATATTTCTTTAGTATAGACGTAGAAGTAGAAAGTAGACGTCTGATACAAACATATTGGGTGAATTCACTAAACATTTGCAACATTTTGTCGTGTGGGATTATGTATCTTAATCATAAACTGACTTATAACCAAGCATTACTACACCCTGCAAATTGTGTTCAGCACTGATTGTGTGGGTGTGTTTACACCATTACCTAATTTATATCATTTATTTATTAAATATGGTGGTAAATAGCACATGCAAATAGGGTCAAAAATCAGGCTGTTTATGGTTGCACAATTCATTTTTGTTTAATGTCAAAGTTATATTGATAACTGTGTGGCTTTCTTGGTCTGTTTGTGTCTCAGGCAGAGGAAGGAGGAGTTGGAGCAGAGGATGTCGTCCCTTCAGGAGAGCCGTCGAGAACTCATGGTCCAACTAGAGCAGCTCATGCTTCTGTTAAAGGTAGAAAAGATCACACACAAACACACAACAAATGATGATGACACGATTTTAAGAAGTTAAATTCAGAATGTAGACATGCAGAGTTTCATGTTAATGAGCTGAACTGCTCCATCTACAGGAAGAAGAGCTAAAAAGAGCTGTAAGTCTCAGAGCCTAGTAACAAAACTGCGTGTTAATATACTTCAGCTTACTCAGATTAACTGTATGCTGTGTGTTTGTTCTTCCTAATATTAAACTCAAGAAATGTTTTGTGTTGGTTTTGTCTTTGGCATCCAGGACTTACATTTGTTCATTTAGCATTGCACAAATCAAAGTAAATGCATGCTGTTATTCAGACAGACTACATTTGGGCATGTCGATTACATACTCTAATTCTTCTTTATAAGTTTTTGAACAAACTTCTAACACTGTAATAAATAATAATACATTTTGATGTGTAACTCATTGTTTGTGCTATAGACATAAATGACTGTCTAAAAAAAAAAGAAGCCTGAGACTTGGGAGTTTACTCTTTTGACCACCAATAACACCAATCAGATTTTAAGACAACCAAGTTTACTTATAGAACCTTACCTGCAAAAGGACATTATATATAGTGTTACAAACTGTTATTCATAATAAGTTGCTAATCATTATTTAATTTACAAAGATTTGACTTGATGTATTTTATCTAATGTTTTGTCACTCATTCAGACACTATGGGCACTTCATATTGTAGACTTTTTATGATTAAGCCAGTGTTATTTCAGTGTTAATTATACACGATTATATGTGTCCGTGGACCACAAAACCAGTCATAAGTGTCAATTTTGATATTTGTACAACATCTGAAAGCTGAATAAATAAGCTTTCCATTGATGTATGGTTTGTTAGGATAGGATAATATTTGGTCGAGATACGACTATTTGAAAATCTGGAATCTGAGGGTGCAAAAAAATCAAAATACTGAGAAAATCGCCTTTAAATTGTCCAAATGAAGTTCTTAGCAATGCACATTACTAATCAAAAATTTATTTTTAATATATATATGGTAGGAAATTTACTAAATATCTTCATGGAACATGGTCTTTACTTAATATCCTAATGATTTTTGGCATAAAAGAAAAATCGATAATTTTTACCCATATAATATATTTTTGGCTATTGCTACAAATATACCCCAGCGACTTAAGACTGGTTTTGTGCTCCAGGGTCACATATTATATTTTTAATTAGCTTTTTAAAAAAATATTTTTTCAGTTTTAATAATTTTGATATGTGCTTTTGTCATTTTTTTATATTTCTTTCTTTTCTTTTTTTTGGGGGGGTATTTTTAATACTTTTAGTAACAACCCAGGTTTAAGTATGTATAACATTACATTTATATAATATCCTGATAATCTCCTTTTGTTTCCTAGAACCAGGGCCCTGGCCCCTCCCCTCGCTCTTCCCCCAGCCACACAATCAACACATCCATCCAATCAGTGTCCGGCAATACCACACCCATCCCCATGCCCATCCAATCAACATCCGGCAATACCACACCCAGTCAGACACCTCAGGACTCGCTCATGGGCCTGGGAGGAGAGGTGCAGCAGGCCTTCGCTCAGGGTAACACACATGTTCCTCTTGTGTTTTCATACATTCACCTGGCCTGACAAAATAAAACAAGGTGATACTGCATTTTGACATTATAGGAATATCCTAGGTTGAATAAAACAGAGGATTTAATAGGACAAATGTGACTTATGTGAATTATACAGCAAAAAACATGTTTAATATTTGACCTGTGAAAGTGAGTAAAAATGCTTTTCCATGTAAAAACTGCGCTAAAGTTAAAGTATGAAATGCACTTATCTCTAAATCAAAACTGTACCTGGTGACTTTTAATATCTTTTTAAAATTACTGAATTATAAAGTAGCAGTTATTAAATATCAATATTTATGTAATTTAATATAATACAACTTTTTTAAAAATGATTGAAACATTAAAACATATGCTGACCAAGGCTGCAATTATTTGATCAAAAATACAGTAAAAACATTGATATTGTAAAATATGACTTTAATTTAAAATAACTCTTTTCTATTGTAATATATTTTAAAATGTAATTTATTCCTGTGATCAAAGTTGAATTTTCAGCATCATTACTCCAGTCTTCAGTGTCACATGATCCTTCAGAAATCATTCTAACATGCTGATTTGCTGCTCAAGAAACATTTATTATTATCAATGTTGAAAACACATTTAGTCTGTTGTCGGTGTTTCTTTGTCTGAATATGGCGCTTATCACATGTTGTGTGGTATCGGCGTTTGGTATCGGGGCATTTTAACGAGTACGAGTACGAGTACAGGAGACCAGTATCGGTGCATCCCTAGTTATTATTAAATAATATTAAATAATTTGATTTCTTTTTTAAAGGCTCCAGAAGGAACTTAAGAAATGATCTCCTGTTAGCTGCAGACTCCATAACCAACACAATGTCTTCATTGGTGAAAGAACTTAACTCGGGTAATATCGAATTTTATGCACTTATTTTATTATAATTATAGAATAAGTCATTATTCATTGATGTTCAGACTTTGTCTTCGATGATGTTTAGAGGCGAGGAGTGAAACAGACAGCATCTCTGACCTCACGTTCCCAACATCAGACGTTCTCCACGCCAGGAGCGCTTCAAGATCAGGGTAACACAAGCTGGACTAAATCATCTGCTGTTTTCACCTGCTGACTGGCGGATCACGTGTTGTCCAGATCTCCTGGGCACATGTTTACAGTGTTTCTGGTCTCATAGGGCAGCAGGTGCGCTGGAGTCTGGGGATTTCTATGGACATGATCTAGAAAAGCAGCTGAACAGAGAGCTGAAGATGGAGGAACGACTCAGACACATGCAGGAACAGGACAAGAACGTCCTGGTGAGACACTTAAACATACAATCAGAGGCCTACAAAGACCTTTTTATAGAGCATTTCAAAGCAAAAACAATAATGCAGCAGTAAGATCAGCTTCTGTCCAAATTAATACACGTACCAGAGCAGTTTGAATGTCAGAGAGTTTTGCATGTGATACGTTGGAATATGCAAATTATCAACCATGGCAAATGACTGAACCAACCATCATTAGTCATCGTTTTACTTATATTTTTATTTATAATCTTTGCATTATTATGCTCCTAAACAGTAACAAAATTAGACAGCATCTTAATTCAATGAGAATACTGAAATTTTTTTTTTTCGCTTTTTCCAAAAATATGAAGCAGCACAAGTGTTTTCAACACTGATAATAATCAGAAATGTTTCTTGAGCAGTAAATCAGCATATTAGGATGATTTCTGAAGGATCATGTGACACTGAAGACTGGAGTAATGATGCTGAAAATTCAGCTTTGCATCACAGGAATAAATTATATTCCAAAATATAATGTAATATAAAACAAATTATAATATTTCACACTATTACTGTTTTTACTGTATTTTTGATCAAATAAACGTAGCCTTGGTGAACATTTTTAATGCATAAAAAAAAAACTCAAACATTTGTTATTTGTCAGCATAAATTTTTCCTTAAATTAAATTAAATAATACATGCATGTAACAAGTGGTTTTTATTTAACCCTTTAACTGTCACCCCCATTTTTTAAAATAGGCATGCAGGTGCACTATCCAAACTTAAATTGTTGTAATTTATGAACACTTTGGAATACAGACATAAGGTTGGTCTCTTTTTAAAGAAGGAAATCAGCAAATTATCACAAAATATATATATAATAAATATATATAATATATATAATAAATATTTTACATATCAGGTTTTACTCTAAAATTGGTATAAAATTATAGCCTTATGTCTAAATAAGTTATGGTCCAAATTTGAAGTTGATATGAAAAAAATTGAGGTTCCTGTGAGATTTTATTTAGGGCGTCCACAAACAG